GGGGGGGCGGGGGGTCGACCTCCCCCGCCCTGGGATTGTTTGGGACGGCTAATGGGGAACTCTCACAATCACTATTTGTCATAATATGCAAATGAACAGCAAATAAGGTCTCCACGTGAGTACGAGAACGAAGTCAAACTGAACACCAAATCATGACATTAGCCTCTCAATCTCCAGCCGAAAGAATCTCATATACCTGGAGACCCGATGGGTGCCTGGGTTTGCCAAGCACTGAGCGGGGCCACCTATTTTCCACCTCCAAATAGTGGGCAGCAGCTGGTAGATCATTGCGGTTCCTTTCGCTGTATGTGGTCCCAAGTTCTGTGCTTGTGTCGGGCGGCGCTACAAAATCCATCTCATTTCTGGAGCCCAAGCTAGAGTTTTTAGTAGTTCTACCCATGGCCTCTTGTAGATTTGGGTGGCCTGCTGAAGCTCTAGTGATCCTCAAGTAAATGCACCATAAATGACTTCAATAGCACTATATATAGCACCAACATTTCGCCAATGGTTTTGGACTTGTCCCATATTTGTCCGTCCATATTCTGTCTACTTGGCATACATTGTCCGGGGTTCCATGAGACAAAAGCAGATCCCCTTCCTACCGCTATCGGTCCTTGGCCCTGACTTTCACTAGCCCTTCACTCTCCTACACGCTCGCCTATGTGCGAGCGCAGTCCGCAGACCGTGTCGCGGTGCACCGCGGGAAGTACCACGTGCGGGTAGCAGCAGTCGATCGTGCCTTCTCAGAGCCTTCTCGCTTGTGTTAGGAGATTGTGAGTGTGGGACCTTGGAAGACGAGATCCATCGCAACCGGATGGGGCGGAGACGAAGATCGAGGGGCGAGAGGATGGGGGCGACAACGATCCATCCAAATGGTTGTGAGTGTGGAGCGCATATTAGATGAAGTGGAGTGCCATGACAGACAAAGCAGTCTTGGTCAACTTGTCTGTTTCATGATATGTGACAAGGGCCATAAAAGAAGAAGCAAGTGTTTTACAAAGACTAGGGGGTGGACCGCCATTTCTTTTTGTGGTGCTTGTTCTCTTCAAGACCTGGCTATGAAGTAGGAAAGGTACGATGTCTACCAACTTACAGCAGTAGCCTGTTGAACAGGAACCATCGACTACCTCTTCGGAACCTATCGATTGGATCTATTGGATTCAATAACGTGGAAGGCTACTGCTTTTTTGGGCAGTCCCCTCCGCGTGTGGTGAACAGAAAACCCAGTGAATCCTGGACAGTCCCCTTCAAAATGACCGTTGAATTAGACTACTTGTAGTCGACCCCCACCACTCCCTTCGATTTCACCCCAGTGAAGATCAAAGGTTGATCTACTTAAAAAGTGTGACCTGTTTAGTTTTGGGGGCACAAGCTCGATCTGATCACATCGACCAGGAGCAGTCCCCATTTGTTGCAAAGGCAAGCCTGGCAGAGTCTGAACGGAACAATCACGACAGTCCTGGTTTAGAGTTCTACCACCCCCGTTTTTGGTTGTGTTGATAGGCACTTATATAGTGGTGGTGAACGTTCCGTTTGAAACACACAATCAGATAGAAAACTCCTTACATGACAAAACCTGTGCCAGTTGAACATCCCAGGGTCAAGACAATTCTTCGATGTTCACATAATTATACCAATGTTCTTGGTAGTAGCTTTGACCACTCTTTGATGCTAGGAATCAGGGTTCCCAATCCTTGTATTAGTTCAACTGCTGGCAATAGCCCGTGCTAAGGCGATGCGGAATACACTCCATCCATAGCGCCCAAGCTGGAAGTGCCCAAAGCCGGAGGGCCAAGATCCCGTCGTTGGTGAAAGATCAGAGGGTTTCGGGTGAACGATCAGGTCAACTTCTGTTCATTCAACTCCGCACACGATCGCAACTTGCTCGCTCCATCGCTACATCTGTGGGATGCAGTCAGACTGGCGTTTTTTTGTCGATAAGCAAACAGCCGACCGTCACCCTGAAGTTGCTTGTTCTGCACATAGGCAGTCTTTGAAGAAACACTGCAGTCCACCTTTGACAAGTAAATACATAGGGATCGAAGCCGGGTTGTCATATATCTTACCTTCGATCTGCTGTGACACCAGCCTAATTGAAACTTCGAAGTACCAAGAAAAACATATATTTTGTCACAGACACCGACACCGATTTGCCAGTGGCATTCTCATCCAACGATTTTCACAATCTTCCTCCGGGTCGGAGAGTTCTAGACCTCCTTCCAGTCACCTCCTTCCAGTCACCAAACTGCTGCAGGTGCTCCACATAAGGTGGGGCAAAAGAGACCAAACACCCTCCCCTTTGCGCCCGAGCTTCAGCGCGTCACTTCCCATGGCGCCAAGCTTCCCAGCGCGTCACGTCCGACTGGGCTCGGCGCTGGCCGCGGTGGTGGTGATGTTCGGCAGAAGCTTTGTGAACTTGCCGCAGGCGGGAGAAGGGATCGGACGAAAACAACTTTTTCGTGGAAGGGATTGGTGTAATGTCCATGTTTTCCGAGGAAGGACACACACACACAACCGACGAAGAGAAACAAGGTGCGGCCTTTCAGAGTGAATACCCATCGGTTCACCTTGTGGCCTATTATTTGGGGGGGCCAAATTGTCAGCGTGGGTAGTGACCTTGGTGGTTGCACTACTACCAAACAACACCTGCCGGAAAGCCCAGGAGCATGGGCACGTCATGGGGGAAAGCTCAGTTGCAGCCAGTTCATGATCCCAAAACTCGTTGCCCCTTCCCAACCACCATCCAACATCATCCAACCTGTATCAACGGCCTGAACTGTTCATTTGCAACGCCTCCGGTGGTCTTGGGATCGGACTCGCCTCCGTCCGCCGCAGGCGGGGAGATCGGACTCGTCGCTGGTGCAGCGTCACGTGGACGTGCCGGGCGTGCGGCTTCGCCCCTGGATGAAGCGGTGAACGTGGTGGGTCTTCTTTTGGACGCTACTAGGGGCTCCTGGCCCTACTACTAGGAGCAAGGACGCTATTAGTAACAAAGGGCAAAGGATGTGAAACGGCCCAGTCACTGGGTTTGTTATTTTCGGCTTGTGAAGCTAAAATGGGGTGCGGGTGGGAGCATGGACCGCTCTGGCCGCTCTGATCACTCTGAAGTTCTTTGGCTGGGAAGTGCATGCACCCAGAAAGGCATACTCGGATACGGGCAAAACTTGCTGCTGAAGATGCGGTTTCGAGCGGCCTCTAAGAGGGATTTCTTGAAGTGATCTCTCATTTGGGCACACACCGTTTCGATCCTGATTTGCCCTAATGATCGTCGCCTAGTAACGAGGGTCTTGTTTCATGGCTCCGTGGCTTCGGAATGCGATCGTCCAAGGGGGGCTGGTGAAGAAGAGTCCTGGGCCGCCCAAGTACCACTTGCCCATTGGCGGGCCGAACATCACCAAGACCGAGACTTGGTGAGATGTGCGTCGTGACGGGGGTTTCTCATGGTTGGGATTATGTGGGGATTGGAGCACTTGGGTTCTTGTTGGCGTTTAATCAGCCTTTGATCCAGTGGATAAAAGCTGGAGATTTCTCCAGTTGGTTGAATAGGCACTTCGGGACGAAACAGGTACTAAGGAGACAATCATCCAAAGACAGGGAGATTCTCAAATTCTCCTGCAAGTTCCTGACGGCTTCCGCATGAAAAAAGATGTATATATACAAAGTAGACACTTCACCAAATGGATCCAAACGGTCTCCGGTCCAGCGCGGAGGAGCGGACCTTCGATGTGTTCTTGAGCACTCCTCGAAAGGAGTGCTCAAGAATCTGAACCCCTGAAGGCCCTGGTTCTTAGCACAATGGTTGAATGCTGAGGATTCCTAAATCCATGGGAAAGACGGGCAAATGAGAGCTTCCTCTCCTGGTTCTTCCAAGTGAAATTTGTGACCTTTTAGTTTGATTTCCAGAGGATTTTGCAAAGGGTAGCTTGGGGGGACCCTCAACAAGAAGCCCCTTTGCAGAAGCTACTGCTGGAAGAGGGGACAACGTTGGCTTGATGCGATTGGCCTCTTGACGCTTCAGTCAGACCTTCATTGACAAGAGACCCGGGCGTCTCTGCTCTCAGGCGGACTTGATGGAGATCCGGACGTCCTACGCGGTTGAGAAGGTTCAACGCGCCGAGGGTGAGAAGGAGGTGCTGCAAAGGTTGGCCAGTGGCCCAGTGGCACGATCGACACGTGCCTTACTAGTAGTAACAAAGAAGCAAGTAGAAACAAGTGCCACGCTAGTAGTAACAGGTGCCTTACTAGTAGTAACAAAGAAGCAAGTAGAAACAAGTGCCACGCTAGTAGTAACAGGTGCCTTACTAGTAGTAACAAAGAAGCAAGTAGAAACAAGTGCCACGCTAGTAGTAACAGGTGCCTTACTAGTAGTAACAAAGAAGCAATTAGAAACAAGTGCCACGCTAGTAGTAACAGGTGCCTTACTAGTAG